CCCCAAAACCCCAAAACCCCGCTATTACAATTGATTCGTTGATCAGAGTATTTATGAAATTAATTTAAGTCTTTAAAATTTAGTCGTCAAAGTTATTAAAGTATACTACTATCATCATTATAGTTTCTATGAGTATTATTCTAGCCATCAACACCTTATTATTTTTATTAGCAAAATATCTGAAATTATGTACCCCATTCATCCATAGTCTAATATAAGGTATCATTATCTTTCCTTTCAGTTTAGCACTCATATATTATTTTAGAGAGCTTTTAAATGTTACTTCCATTGCATTTTTTAAAAATGGTAATAACTTTATTTTCAGATTTCTATGGGCTAACCCCTAATTTCTTTTCAATTACTTTAATTTGATTTCTTTTTTAAGTACTACGGCTTAAGTGCCCCTTTTTATATGGAATCAGCTTTGAGTTTTCAGTTGTTCCAGCTCTTGAAGTATTGAGTGCCATCCTCTATTGGAAAGGACTCTTGGTACTTGTAAATTTTACATCATTAATTTTATTTTTTAAGAGAGGGTTGGATTTCTTATGATAAGGAAACATGCTATACTCATTGCTTACAATGAAGGATTTTCTATTTTTCTAAATTTTCTCTTTTGATTCAAGGTAATCTCTATCTACTACAGCTTATAAAAATTCAGGGCTTAACTTACGGATATCAATCGACGACGGATGCTTGTGGGCAGGATCAATTTAATCTATTTAAGGAACTGAAAGGTTTTTGTGTGCATCTCTATAAGTCTATTATTTTTGTAACTTATTTTGATAGGATAGAAACTCCTTTAATTTTCTCCTAACTTTCATGCCATCTCTTATGTCATTTAAACTCATTATAGATTCATCATCAAGAATTTCTTCATCATGCTTTATTTTTTCATGAGCTAATCATTAAGTGTTGGTAAAATTCTGATCAAATTTAGACACGTTAATCCAATTATTTGAAGTCTTCTATATTGGAATACCTAGACTAGATTTTGCCCCTCTTCTTGAAGTTTTTCCACTTAAGCTGTCATGAAAACTATCTATGCCATTAATACTTTTCTGTCTTTATCTGTTTGCAATCCTATCTTTTATTAATCTTTCTACAATCAATTTCCTAGTTTACACTGAGTATAGCTCAGTTACACAATATGTTCCTCTTTTTAGCATTCCCTTAGGCTATATTATGTAATCAGACCTCTCTCCCATTTTCTTAAAAATGACTTCTTTATTCAAGAGCTAATTGTAATTACTAACTTCTTTCATTTGAGCATCGTGAAAAGCTACCTTCGAAGTTGGATACTTTGTACCATGTTCATATCAAACACGCATGTCAAGAGTTATTGATTAGACATTCCTAAGATGAAGTGGAACATTTGTGTTTAGCCTATCTATCGACCATGATTTATGCATTTTTTTAACTAAAATTTTATGTTAAATTTAATTACTCTAATTATTTTTTTTAGGTGTCTTGGGGTTTTGGGGTTTTGGGG